ACCCGCTGCGCGCGTGCCTTCATGCTAAGCATCACTTTCTCTGCGTGTCGTGTGCGTTGATGCCGGCAGGCCCAACATGCTGACGCTGATAGGGGTTATGTTCAACTATGTATTTTACTTCCTTCTTGGCTACTACACTCCCCACCTCACGGGCGTGGCTCCCGCGTGGGTCTATTTCGTCTCTGCCTTCTGTATCTTTGCCTATCAATCCCTCGACAACATCGACGGTCGTCAGGCCCGACGGTGCGCACCCCAAGTTCTGACCTTTTCCTTTTCCTCAGCTCCTCGCTTATCATCAATCGCGTCGTGTTGTTCGTGTTGATCAGAACGGGCTCCTCCTCTCCGCTTGGTGAGCTATTCGACCACGTGTGTGATGCCGCCAGTTGTCCAGTATGTACAACGACCAATTCAATTCAGTCGCTTAAGCGCACGTTCTGATCAGCGCTCCTTGCATGGCCTTGCCGCAGTTGTTCGCTCTTTCCTTGACGGCCACTCTGCAGCTCGGCCCGTGGTATGGCTACGCTACGCTGCTTGCCATCTGCCTGCCCTTCTACTTCGCCCACTGGGAAGAGTGCGTCTCCTCACCTCCATTCTTAAGAACGCACATACAACACATAGCACACACCGCTACCACACGTAGCCACAACGGCCCTCACGATTTATACTTGGGATACGTTCATGACCAAGTATAATTTAATGGCGCCCACAGCAATCCGCACCCTCTTCCACGTGATGGTGTGGAGGGTTCCATCACGAAGATAGCTGTCGGCTTCTTTCCGCGCCGACGGTTATAATGTGATGGGCACACTTACACTCTTACACAACCCACACACCACTCCCCAGACGTGTGCGTACAGCATTGTCTTTGATTGCGGCGAGGCATTACTAACTGATGTGCCATTGATTCAACCACAGGTACTATTCCGGGTCGCTCGTCTTGGGCAAGTGGAACGGTCCCACCGAAGCTCAGGTCCTGAGCATGGCGGTCTACGTCGGAACCGGCATTGCTCGTACGTTGTTCATCTCTCGCGCCGCCATTTTCAATCGAGCGCTGGCCACTGACGCTCCTTGTCATACACCATGCAGGGTGCTACGACTTTGATTTCTGGTCGATCAACCTCTTCGGGGAGATCAGCATCGGCAAAGCCCTGGCTATCAGCTTCTACATCGGCGCCGTGCTCACCTGTGCCACCCAGTGCGTGCCCTTCCCACACCAGCTGAGGTCTGTTTCTATTTCTTAGTCCAGCCCTGACCGGTCTGGGTTGTCTGCCGACAGCATCGGTAAGGTGGTCGGAATGCTTAAGCACCGACCCGGCGCTATCATCAAGGCGCTTCTCCAGCTCACGCCCATTACCGTCGTCGTCGGCCTCGGCAGCCTGTGGATCGGCCTCTCCTGGGAGCTGTTCGTCGCCCACCCGCGCACGATCATGATGTCCTGCGCCATGGCCTTTGTCTACCTCGTGGTACGGCCCGACCCCACCCGTGGTGGGGGACGATGGAGGGGACAGTCATATGATTGACTCGCGTGTGTACTTTGCAGACTCGTCTGATCGTCCAGCGCATCTGCTCTGAGCCGATCCGTATCTTCTACGTGATCGAGGCCCCCTTCTTTGTTTTGTCGTTCAACGCGGTTTGGACGCGCTGGTTCATGATGTACGTAGAGCAGCCTCTTGGAGAAGATGAAGATGAGAAGATGCTGTATCACGGCTCACACCGGCGATGAATTTATTCTTGCTCCAACAGGACCCCGCTTGTCGAGGAGGAGGTGCTGATGTGGCTGTTCCTCGTGTACTCGGTGAGCAACGTGGTCTTCCTCGGCTATTCCCTCATCAGGCAGCTCTGCGCGCACCTGAAGATCAACGCCTTCACCATCCCCTATCCCTCGTCCTCGGCCGCCAGCAAGAAGAGACTCCCCGCCAAGCGGGACTAGGTGATCATTGCTCAAGAGGGCAACCTGTAGAGGT